ACTTTACCCCCCCCCCCCCCCCCCCCCATTTTATGGCGGGGGCATACAAATTTAAATAAAGTAGACGAAGGTAAAATTTTCTGTTTTTCGATAATTGTCATTTACAAGCATACTTCAAAATTATACGCATGTGTTTTTTTAGTATCATTTATTTTGTAATATTCAAAGCTTTGCGTGTAAACATGCTCTGATGAAATGTAAATTCAGTTTTCAGACAAAAACAACAGTTTGACAAAGGGTCAAGATTTACATTGTTCTTAGCACATGAATACAAAACTGCTTTTGACCTTCTTTGTTGTCAGGAAAAATTATGAACAAATCATATACATTGACATGAGACCCGATGAAAAACCCTTCTCCAAGTCGAGTTTCTATCTGGACAAGCATTGTTCGTTGCACGTGAGGTGTGGGCAGGTTTAACGCGGTATGATTCTATTATTTCAACACACGCAACAAAACAGGGGAAATAATTTATCGTCAATCAATAAATATTGATTATGTAGTGTTTTATTCTGAATATAGTGATGATGAAAGTGCCTTTGTAATGTTTTTTCGATTAAAATTAAAATGTACAAGATTGTTGACCTACTATGAGCGGTTAATGTTGAAGTAGCTGCTTGTCTATCACTACTAGTCGTCACGGTGACGTTTATCTTGTACCCAGATGAAATGCTGTTGTCTTCTTCGTTCCCATTCCTGGATCCGGATAAAATGTTTTTTCTCTCATTCCCATTTTTGGTCCAGATTAAGTGCTGGGCCCGTATTATTATGAAACCGTTCTCAAGCTCAAACATGGATTATCGGCTGAAGCCGAATGTTTTGTTCTCGTTATAAAATTTATAAAAAAATCATACTTTGTCAATTATTTGGAAAAACATTGAATAGACTTAGAGTCCAATACTGTTTTTATTGTTTACATTTGACTTTTTTGATCGTTGACATGATTTAAGAGGGTAACAAGAAAGATCAATCCTTGAGCCTGAGAACGGTTTCATGAATACGGGCCCATATGTTGTAGTTGTCTCTCATTCTAATTTCTGGGTCCAGATAAAGTGCTGATGTTGTTTTTGTCTCTCATTCCCATTTCTAGGTCCAGATAAAGTGCTGATGTTGTAGTTATCTCTCATTCCCATTTCTAGGTCCAGCTAAAGTGCTGATGTTGTAGTTGTCTCTCATTCCCATTTCTGGGTCCAGATAAAGTGCCGATGTTTTTTTTCCCTCTCATTCTCATTTCTAGGTCCAGATAAAGTGCTGATGTTGTAGTTGTCTCTCATTCTAATTTCTAGGTCCAGATAAAGTGCTGATGTTTTAGTTGTCTCTCATTCCCATTTCTAGGTCCAGATAAAGTGCTGATGTTGTTTTTGTCTCTCATTCTAATTTCTAGGTCCAGATAAAGTGCTGATGTTGTAGTTGTCTCTTTCATTCCCATTAATATGAGTTCATGGAGAAAACCCAAGTGGTCGGCCAGGTGTGTGACTTTATATCTAATTCCCCGGATGTATTTCACCAATAGTAGTTAATGATGTTGGAAGTTAATGGGAGCCAGTCTTGAAATTGACTATTTTTGTACGATGTTTGAAATAGATTAGAAAGTATCATAATTTAATAGTTTATATAAATGCAGAGAAGAGGCCGTTACAAAACTATCCTTTTACGGCTATCCGTCGTTGGGGTAACGGTAGAAGCGCTGTTATTAATCTGATGTCAACGTTAGAACGTTACAGCTTTATATATATATATATACAAAGGGCGACAACTAGTAGTTGAAACGCGAAAAAATTTGAATGAATACCGTGATAAAATTAAGTAAATAAGTGTCAATATTACTTACATGTATTTCCGTCCAGAACATATATGTTTAATCTCTGATAGAGAAGCTAAAAAATGGTTTATTTTCCCTAGTCGGTTAAATGACAACAATGATAAGGAGACATTATTAGGTAATGCGTTCTAGTACACGTGGTAAAGGTAACAGTTGGTACCACTCTTCCTCTGTGTGGTTTATTTTTGTGATTTAATTATTACGGCAGAAACTATGTCCTTCTCTTGGTGCGTTGACTCCGAGGTGTCCAGTAATAATGATAACTTGAACACTTGCATGCAACGTTTGTTTTTCAACGGCAATGCTACTTGGTTTATCTATAGAAGCTATTAGTATGAGTTTTATTTAAATGTTCAAATACAGAACTGACATAAAGTATATATATTAATACGATATCATGTACTACATTTATACCCCTAGGCCTTATTTCAGAATTTGCAAATACCTTTCGGACGAACGGCATCCATCAAGAGTGCAACGTCTTTCAGTCAATCAAACTTTAAACAGCATGTATTATCACAGGTTTAACGCGGGGAACATGTCACAACATGATACTGTTTCCTTTGTCAAGGGGGACATTTGCACCAATATATCACATTTTGTCAGATTTTGAACAAGAAATGCCCCTCTCATGTAGGATTTTTATACTCCTGATATGGCTGCTCAATTTCTTATAATCATGATAGAAAATTAAACAACGAAGTATTTATGACAGTAAATTGAACTCCCACCTAAACAACATCACTGTCTGTATGTGCGGTTACTCTGTTAAAGATAATGAGATCGTGATCACTTCGTCATCTGCTGTCCTTCCTTTATATAACCAGTTAGCTTCACTTCTGCTTAGTGATGCTATTCCACTAAATAGTCAGTCTCCTGTAAGGATGGAAAAGACTTGATGTAAACTCTAATATAACAATTCTGGAATTGATTCGGAGATTCTTTAGTCCGGTAGGTTTGCTGTAACCTTGGCGACCAGTTATCTGTTTTGAGTAGTCATTACAGATCATTTAACTTCAAATTAACGTGTACTGCTCTTAATTTTTACGTTCCTAAATCAAGCGGTTTTACGCAAATACTTCTTCTTCTTCTTCCAGTCTAAGGGACAGACTCAAAGGTTTGAGTGCAATCGTCCTCCGTTTCACCAGTAGTTCAGACAATCAGGATTTCTGAGTGTTTGGCCCCAAGTATCACCGATGCTTCCTATAAGTAGGTAACAGATGTATGGTATGGTGTAGTGCTATTCCTTTTTGACATACTGTATCTATAACCAAATTTTAAAGATGTAGTTACCTGTGTGTGTGTTTGTGTGTTACGTTTAATCTTTCAATTAACTAATACTGACTACTACAGATACAGTTACACGTCTGGGTCTCTTGTCAACTGTCAGGAATGCTCCGAGCATGACTGTGCTTGTCATTACTTCCTGTATGACAATTCTGCAAAAGATGTTACTGATATTTTTGTCAACCCTTGTATTATATTATGATTATGACCATTGGTAGTCATTTTACACACAAAATCACTATTCCAGATTAACATGTGAAGCTTCATGATTATACATCTTCATATCGATACTTATTACCACTGTAATACCTATTACATACAAGGTCTATACTATACAATATTCTTAAATGAAATATACCTATTGTTGATGCATATTACAATACAAAAGTGACTGTCTGACATTTAAGACGGATATTATATTTGTTTCTGACTATTGTATCCAACATCAAATGATAACAAGAGGCCCATGGGCCTTAACGGTCACCTGAGTCCTACAGTATTTATATTTGTTGTTGAAATATGTGCCAATTTGAGTAAAAAATAGCTAAGTATAATGTTAACTGAACTTTGTCAGGACCATGAGGCGATCATTCCTACCAACTTTCAGTTCAATCGACCTAGCAGAACTGCACTTTAAGTTTGAAATAGCTATTTTCAAAATGGCGGCTATGGCGGCCATATTGGATTGCTGATCGACCCGAAAAATAAAAACACTTTGTCAGGACCATGAGATGATCATTCCTAGACCGATTTTAAATAAGATCGGCCTATTAGAAATTGTTTTTAAGTTTAGAATAGGTATTTACAAAATAGCGGCTGTGGTGGCCATATTGGAGTTCTGATTGACCTGACAAATAACAACACTTTTTCAGGACCATGAGTCGATCATTCCTACCAACTTTCAGTTCCATCGACCTAGCAGACCTTGACTTTAAGTTTGAAATAGTTTTTAAAAATGGCGGCTATGGCGGCCCTATTGGATTTCTGAAAGACCCGAAAAATAACAAAACTTTGTCAGGAATATGAGTCGATCATTCCTACCAACTTTCAGTTCAATCGACCTAGCAGAACTGCACTTTAAGTTTGAAATAGTTTTTCAAAATGGCGGCCGTGGCGGCCATATTGGATTGCTGATCGACCCGCAAAATAACAACACTTTTTCAGGACTATGAGTCGATCATTCCTACAAACTTTCATTTCAATCTGCCTAGCAGAACTTGTCTTTAAGTTTGAAATAGTTTTTCAAAATGGCGGCCGTGGCGGCCATATTGGATTTCTGATCGACCTGAAAAATAACAACACTTTGTCAGGACCATGAGGCGATCATTCCTACCAACTTTCAGTTCAATCGGCCCAGCAGAACTTGACTTTAAGTTTGAAATGTAAAATGTTAACGGACGACGACGGACGAAAACGGATAGCAATAGGTCACTTGAGCTAAAGCTCAGGTGACCTAAAAATCAAAATACTTACAGTACCCATTGAATATACCATCTATACTTTAGTTATGTCCCCAAAACGAAGTGGGAGACATATTGGTTTTTTTTGGATATGGTATTAATAAGAAGATATCCCATCTGGAGATGATGGGCAAAACATATTTCAATCAATCTTTCAAAATAAATGTTTGACACTTGGATGTTACCAAGTACATGTAACCAGGTAGCATGTACATAGGAGGGCATGGAGGACCATTATCAAACCAACAAACAACAGCTTAGCATCATGAGATTTATTGATAACATAGGTGATGCTTACATTTACACTATGTACAAATAAGAAACATTTCAAACATTCAACAAATAAATTAATTGGTATCTGTGATAGAGTGCTCAAACAACACTAATAAAGCCCAGTCAAAGGTCACAGAATCAGGTCAACCATATAAGCTTTCAGTGGTCTTTTGTAACTACTTTTAGTTATATTTCATCACTTACAAAAATACATAAAATATATGAAACTTTCATTAAAAATGCCCTTCATTCACTGGCCAGGAACGGTCACACAGTGAACCAGGTATCAGTGAGAATATTTAGGGACGATAAGATTTGTACAGTGTCCCATAATGATAATATATTTTAAACTTGTAATTGTTTGCAAAATCATCTTTCAGGTTGACGCCAATTTTAATGCCAGATTACAAAAAAAAAATGTTCAAATTTTACTAGTTTAACAAATTAATCAAACATTTTCAAGAATCCTTAAATAATATTTTTTTCTATATTTTCTCACTACCCAGGTCACTAAAGGCATATAGTGATAGGGGCAATACAAAAATAAAACTGCAAGCCAAGTGCTTACAAAGATATTCTAATAATCAACGAAATGGTCAAATGTAAAATATCTTGTCATGCATATTCAGTGGCTATGATGGGTGCAAAATTTCATAGAGGTCTGTACAGATTTTGTCCACATATGTTAAGTTCTAAACAGAAACTATTACCAATGTCCCAAAAACTATCACAAAAGCCACAAATGAAGCATCGCGAAAAGTGATATTTAAATCTTCTCAAGAAAGCTCAACTTGAAGGCGCTAATGTATCATCAAATCGGAGGCCAATGCAGCCATCTTGAATCTCAAAGCTTGAAAGTCAGTTGTTCAACATAAAATATATATATATCCTTTATATATCAACAACAAAGTTGACTTGATAGAACTAGAGGTATAACCGTTAATCGTCTTGGCCAATTAGAAGCCAAGGCAGCAACCTTAAATCCTGGAATTTAAAAGCTGGCCATTCCTCATAAATTACCCCCTTATGTATCACTCCCAACAAACAATCAACAAGGTTAGTCCTGGAGAACTAGAGTTAAAACTGTAACTGTCTCAGCCAATCAGAGGCTATTTTGAATAGGCCATCCACATTTTTTTTTTTAATGTTGGCTGTTTAAAAAATTCAGAACAAACCCTATAAATTGCTCCAAAAAAGTATCAAACAAAACTGGTTCCAGAGAACTTGAATTATAACTGTAATAGTCTCAGCATAACTTTAGGGGAGAAGAGAATGTGCCGAACATGATTAATTTGATAAAGTGTTTTTGGAACCTTCAAAAAAGTTAAGGAGGGTTTGGCATGACAAGTTTTGATCCACAAACAGTTGTACAAGCTGATGTCAGTATATTCACAACCTACCCCATTTTTTTTTTCTTGCAGGGGGGGGGGTCGGGATTACAATTACAGGCGGGCTCTGATAGTTTTCAATATGTTAGTACTGGGTCAGTGACAGTCTAAAAAATTTATAATGTAATACTGTACAACAAAGTTTTTGCATGGACAAATACATGTAAAACAATACCTGAAGTCTTGTTGGTAAATATTCATCACTCTCCAAAATCAGTACCTCATAGGAAGACATTCATACGTCTCTTTCACCCCTTGTAATAGGACATTGAAACACTTAAACTTCTCCTCTATTCTTTATTATCTTTATTATAGAGGGTACACCCTCACACTTCCCATCTATGCCTTTTAATATATAGAAGACACTCATTCACAACTCTCATCTACTTCCTATATTTCATCACTTCTCAAATCATATATGGCAGTGAAAAAAGAAAAGAAAAAAAAAGTATAGAATATTATATTTTCTATATAAATAAGTCAACAAATATCAAGAATAAGACAAAGTTTGATTTTGTCATGCTAGATGTGATATTCAAAATATCATGCAATACAAAAGGATATAGATCTTGCATAGCAAAATACACAGGTAAGGGGAGATAATCCTTTGTAAGCATACTGAGCTAGAATAATAAAGAACAACTCTCATCATGCTTTCTCCACCAGAAGGCCACACCATTGTCATAAACAAACAAAATGTTGATCATTACAAAAATATACAACTTACAGTCTTTGTACATAAAGTGTATTTTATTTTGACACACTCCAAACATTGAGAAGTGTAATAATCACTAACTCTAAATTGCATTTTATATAGTTTCTAAAATCAACCTTATGTTTAAGTGAATAGTGAATGTCGACATTAATCAATTTAATCTATCAAACACTCTCATCCGATGAATGACATGCTAATGATATTTGATTTGAGCTATAAAATCTTAATCGGTAAATAAAATCCCCTGCAATAAATTTAAAAAGCTTGATAACTCCCTCTCCTATAAACTTACAAATATGGACGGAATTTACCAACAACTATATAAGTATGTGGTCAGTATATTCTAGCAGCAGCAAAATGTTCAGATATTCTCCATAAAATGGGAATGAAAGACGAACGTGATGTCAAGAGTGCTAAGATCACTTGTGAAATTCAGATCTGGTACAACTTATCTTTTTATTCATATTAGGGATCAAATATCACTTTTGAAATTCAGATCTGGTACAACATATCTTTCTATCCATATTAGCGATCAAATATCACTTGTGAAATTCAGATCTGGTACAACTTATCTTTTTATCCATATTAGCGATCAAATTCAAATATCACTTGTGAAATTCAGATCTTTTACAACTTATCTTTTTATCCATATTAGCGATCAAATATCACTTGTAAAATTCAGATCTGGTACAACTTATCTTTTTATCCATAATAGCGATCAAATATCACTTGTGAAATTCAGATCTGGTACAAATTATCTTTTTATCCATATTAGCGATCAAATATCACTTGTGAAATTCAGATCTGGTACAACTTATCTTTTTATCCATATTAGCGATCAAATATCACCTATTGTAAAATTCATATCTTGTACAATTTTTATTCATATTAGTGATAAAAGATCACTTTTAAAGTTCAGGGCCAAGTTGTTCGAACAGTGTTTAGCTTAATCAGGGATTAGCTTAATCAGTGATTAGTGCAAATTTTATTTTTGGTGTATTGTTTAAACACAACCATTCACAGAGTTTAAATTTTTAAGATAGAAAATATAACAGAAGAGTAAATTACATGCAAAATTAAGAGGTTTTACTTTGTATATTGACTCAATTACTAGAGGTTAAAAAATGTCATTAATCAGTGATTAAGCTTATCATCTTTTGAACGACTGGGCCCAGATCTGGTACAACCGACTGTTTTTATTCTAAAGAAACTGATTCCACATCTCTAGCATAAATATTTTCCTATTTTACTAGAATGATCAGGTACATTTGAAAACTGAGTTGGTTAAACTGCTTTCTAACAGCATTTTCTTCGACCATTTTTTAAGTTTTAATAAATGTGTGATCAACTTTTGTTTTTATTGGATATATTTAAAAATAGAAAAGTTATACACAAAATGTAGACAGATGTTCTTACCTACTGAAATCCAATAACAACTCTTCTCAGCTTTTAAATATTCTATGCATGAACAAATATTTTTTCAAAACTGTTGAACATTTGTTTATCGATCAATGTAAATTATGAAAACTAAATCGCATCACTTAAGGATCCCCGTACCACTGTGAAAATGGTAACTAAGAATTTGAAACTGTTTTACCTACATGACAATAGCTTTTAAACCTTTCACCACTGCAGACCATAATGGACTCATCCAAATCAAAGCATGGTAGAGTCTACTAAAGTTGCATAGGGGTGAAAAGGTTAATAAACCATTTCTGAAGAGTCCAAAGTTTCTGGAACTTTCATATAAAATACTTACGAAATGTAGAAACACTTTTCTGCAAGTAATAATGCCACCAACCAGACCAGAATATGGACTCTATACCTCTTATGACAATGTGATCACACTGACATGGTCAGTGGCTATTTGATGGTAAAGACCAACTACAGTTATAGCCAAAACGAAATTAAGGGGAGGTAACTGTATTTATGATGAGCTTCGATGGAATTCCCTTGTGGTTTGCCTACAGTGGAACAAGGATCCTTGAACCTTTCTATGAAAACCGGTTGTAATTTCTGTATTACACGTTTGATTATTACTTATTGCATACATGATTAGTGTCAAAGATGAAATAGAAAGGTGGTGTTCAGCCGTTTCAAAACATTAAAGTTTAATTCAACTGTTGAACTGTTTGTTGCCATACAACCAATGGTGCTTCCACACATCAACGTTCAAGCTGCATACATATCTATGAGGTACTTGTGACACCAGGGAGGCTTTTCATTGGGACTCGAGCCTTCCTTTTGACTAAACCATGCTGCTCAGATATCCTGAAGAACAAAACATAAAGTTGTTAACACCAGGCACCTTTGGATAAGAATTTTCACATTTATTGAAAATTTTGAGAGTAATTATCAAAAACTCTGACATGAGTAAGAACTTTAAAATCAATTTAAGGTTTTTCTTTGTGTATTTCTATATATATCATCACAGTCAGTTGATATACAACATACTTATAAAATATTTTTAATATTCAACACCCACATACCTGACACTAATGTAACAAATAGGTCAATTCTTGAATGCCTTGCGCCCCTTCACCGCCCACTCTGGCTTACTGGCCCTGGACATCTGTGACGTGGCTCCACTCATTCTGCTGGACGATGTGCTAGCATTGGACAGTCGGCCTACAAATCAAATAAACACATCACAGCGATACATTTTCGGGGAATTTGACACCTCAGAGTTATTTTGCAATCTTCATATTGATGCTGTAATCAGCATTTGAATAACAGCACTGAAGTTTCAATCGATCATATGACTGGAGAACCAATTTGATAATACTAAACTCTGAACCATTTAAGCAAAGACACAAATTAGGTGGTTTAGTACAAGCTGCAGAACTTCACTGAACAACTTGTATGACAGGATACTTACTACCAGTACTTCGGTCAGAAAGGGCAGCGTCGAGTTGCATGTGAAGACCATTAACGTCTTCCTCTGATAATTTCTCTTTAGATGCCTTGACCATATTTGTTGGAGGATGTTTGGCCTCAGTCACATTCTGGCTTGGAGTTCCCGTTAACAGACCATTAGGAAACTTTTGATATGCAACCTTCATACCTAGAGATGAAATAGCATGAGTTAAACAGGAAATACTTAAATAGAACTATGCAGACTCTGGAGTATCTTCATACCTAGAGATGAAATAGCATGACTTATACAAGAAATACTTAAATAGACCTACTATGCAGACTCTGGAATCCATTGTTACTAAAATCCTATCATCATTAAATGTTTTCTATGACACTGCTACTGATGTACTTGAGGTTTGTAACAGGGATGATGTGAACAATTGATTTCCCTATTAAGGTTAACAGAGTCTATCATATACAGGAAGGTATGTGGGATATGGATAAATATTCTACCCGAGGGTGTATGATTATGGTCACAGCCGCGGCATTGCCAAAGATTTGACACCAATTCTGCCTGCAAGGGTAGAATATCCATATCCAACATACCAACATCATGACAGACACTTTTTCTCCTACCTCTTAACTGAAATTTTGGTAAAACAGGTCAAATAGACAATGCAAATGCAACATTATATATTGCACGGTTTCTTAATATCATTAACACAAACTAAGGCCATATTTGTAAAGAGCAGAGAAATGCAAGGTATACCTCAAATTTAGCTTGTACAACAATTGTTATGTTCTTGAGGTGGTTTCACTTGCTGACCGCAAGATTGACACGTTTTGACATGTTTTCAATTGTGATGTCATAATAAAACACAGCCATCTGATTGTGGTGTCATAATAGCACAGGCCACTGAGTGTACCCATGTGAGATACGCACTCCCATGGGTGTTCCACAAGGGACATGTGTGTCTGTTTTCAGATTAATGGCTGATCGGTCGTTACCATGTGGAAGACATTATCTTTCGAGTCAGTTGCCATATAGACTGTATATCTGTGACTTACCACCTGATAGGAGAAACAAATTATCGTATGACCTCTCGACCAAAGTCGTCGCCGTTCTGTGAGCTAGAGCCTCATCTTCATCATAAACTATAATTATTTTACCAGGCTGGTTTTTCTGATAAACAGTCAAGGGGAATAACTCATAATTTCATGAGATTATTTAACTCTCACCTTCAGTCAACCTAGATTCTATGGCACTACTGCTAGTGTTTCTCAACCTTTTTTGATGATGAATGAATATAAGTTAAATACAAAAGCAGTGCAAGATTTTTAATGACATACCAGATGGAAATGTACAGGAGATAACAAAAATTTGTATACAATATTAAAGACTTTTCCAATTAAATATACTAAAATCTAGATGATTAGCTGTGACTTATTTGGCCTTTTTAGTAATTAGGAATTGCAAGTTTTTTTTTTCAAATACCATCTTTTTTTATGGCCATCGTATTTTTGAATCCATTTAGACAGTACTGTGTATAGTTTATTTTCAAGGTTGGAAGCGAGATCCCCATAGTTGTCAAACCTACAACAGAGCACAGATACAGACAATATTGATGTGAACACAATTAGGAACTGTTAATATGTAAATGAAAATTACAATAATTGGAATTGACCTGGCAGGGGTGAATGTTAATTTAAAGTTGATATGTTAAACACTAGAGAATACAATTGGACCTGTTTGTAAACTAAATGTAAAAGGTTGTAAAAGGATACATAGGCACGCATTTCCTCTGTGTCTTGGTTATACATTCTTGATAACATTGCTGTAGGGTAGCTCTTTGCTGAAATAATAAAACAGTATTGCTGTTACACACTATTTTTGGTAAGTTGTATGAAATGTGGTGACTGTATGTAATGTGGTGACTATAAGTAATGTGATGTCTGTATGTAATGTGGTGACTATGTAATGTGGTGACTGTATGTAATGTGGTGACTGTACATGTATGTAATGTGGTGACTGTATGTTATGTGGTGACTGTATGTTATGTGGTATAAGTAATGTGATGTCTGTATGTAATGTGGTGACTATGTAATGTGGCGACTGTATGTAATGTGGTGACTGTACGTTATGTGGTGACTGTATGTTATGTGGTGACTGTATGCAATGTGATGTCTGTATATAATGTGACGACTGTATGTAATGTGGTTACTGTATGTTATAAGGTGAGTGTATGTAATGCGATGTCTGTATGTTATGTGGTGACTGTATGTAATGTGGCGACTGTATGTTATAAGGTGAGTGTATGTAATGCGATGTCTGTATGTTATGTGGTGACTGTATGTTATGTGGTGTCTGTATGTAATGTGGTGACTGTATGTAAGGTGATGTCTGTATGTAATGTGGTGACTGTATGCAATGTGATGTCTTTATGTAATGTGGTGACTGTATGCAATGTGATGTCTGTATGTAATGTGGTGACCATATGTAATGTGATGACTGTATGTTATGTGGTGACTGTATGTAATGTGGTGACTTTATGTAATGTGGTGACTGTATGCAATTTGATGTCTGTATGTTATGTGGTGACTGTATGTTATGTGGTGACTGTACATGTGTGTAATGTGGTGACTGTATGTTATGTGGTGACTGTACATGTGTGTAATGTGGTGACTGTATGTTATGTGGTGACTGTACATGTGTGTAATGTGGTGACTGTATGTTATGTGGTGACTATATGTAATGTGGTGACTTTATGTAATGTGGTGACTGTATGTAATGTGGTGACTTTATGTAATGTGGTGACTGTATGCAATTTGATGTCTGTATGTTATGTGGTGACTGTATGTAATGTGATGTCTGTATGTAATGTGGTGGCTGTATGCAATGTGATGTCTGTATGTAATGTGGTGACCATATGTAATGTGATGACTGTATGTTATGTGGTGACTGTATGTAATGTGGTGACTTTATGTAATGTGGTGACTGTATGCAATGTGATGTCTGTATGTAATGTGGTGACCATATGTAATGTGATGACTGTATGTTATGTGGTGACTGTATGTAGTGTGGTGACTGTATGTAATGTGGTGACTGTACATGTATGGAATGTGGTGACTGTATGTTATGTGGTGACTATATGTAATGTGATGTCTGTATGTAATGTGGTGGCTGTATGCAATGTGATGTCTGTATGTTATGTGGTGACTGTATGTAATGTGATGTCTGTATGTAATGTGGGGACTGTATGTAATGTGGTGACTGTACGTTATGTGGTGACTGTATGTTATGTGGTGACTGTACATGTGTGTAATGTGGTGACTGTATGTTATGTGGTGACTGTACATGTATGTAATGTGGAGGCTGTATGTTATGTGGTGACTATATGTAATGTGGTGACTTTATGTAATGTGGTGACTGTATGCAATGTGATGTCTGTATGTAATGTGGTGACCATATGTAATGTGATGACTGTATGTTATGTGGTGACTGTATGTAGTGTGGTGACTGTATGTAATGTGGTGACTGTATGCAATGTGATGTCTGTATGTTATGTGGTGACTGTATGCAATGCGATGTCTGTATGTAATGTGGTGACTGTATGCAATGTGATGTCTTTATGTAATGTGGTGACTGTATGCAATGTGATGTCTGTATGCAATGTGGTGACTGTATGTAATGTGATGTCTGTATGTAATGTGGGGACTGTATGTAATGTGGTGACTGTACGTTATGTGGTGACTGTATGTTATGTGGTGACTGTACATATATGTAATGTGGTGACTGTATGTTATGTGGTGACTGTACGTGTATGTAATGTGGAAACTGAATGTTATGTGGTGACTATATGTAATGTGATGTCTGTATGTAATGTGGTGGCTGTATGCAATGTGATGTCTGTATGTAATGTGGTGACCATATGTAATGTGATGACTGTATGTTATGTGGTGACTGTATGTAATGTGGTAACTGTATGTAATGTGATGTCTGTATATAATGTGGTGTCTGTATGTTATGTGATGACTGTATGTAATGTGGGGACTGTATGTAATGTGATGTCTGTATGTAATGTGGGGACTGTATGTAATGTGGTGACTGTACGTTATGTGGTGACTGTATGTTATGTGGTGACTGTATGTAATGTGGCGACTGTATGTAATGTGGTGACTGTATATGTGGTGACTGTATGTTATGTGATGACTGTATGTAATGTGGTGACTGTATGCAATGTGATGTCTGTATATAATGTGACGACTGTATGTAATGTGGTTACTGTATGTTATAAGGTGAGTGTATGTAATGTGATGGCTGTATGTTATGTGGTGACTGTATGTTATGTGGTGACTGTACATGTGTGTAATGTGGTGACTGTATGTTATGTGGTGACTGTACATGTATGTAATGTGGTGACTGTATGTTATGTGGTGACTGTACATGTGTGTAATGTGGTGACTGTATGTTATGTGGTGACTGTACATGTGTGTAATGTGGTGACTGTATGTTATGTGGTGACTGTACATGTGTGTAATGTGGTGACTGTATGTTATGTGGTGACTGTACATGTGTGTAATGTGGTGACTGTATGTTATGTGGTGACTGTACGTGTATGTAATGTGGAAACTGAATGTTATGTGGTGACTATATGTAATGTGATGTCTGCATGTAATGTGGTGACTGTATGTAATGTGATGTCTGTATATAATGTGACGACTGTATGTAATGTGGTGACTGTATGTTATGTGGTGACTGTATGTTATGTGGTGACCATGTATTAAGTGGTGACTATTTTGCGTTTTTTCATTTTTTTTATCTTTTGTCTTGCCTGTATTTTTTGTTATGACGGTATGTTATATATATTGACTGTAACCGTTATTTGGTAGTCATGGAGAAGTACTTACATGTTATTATATGACACTGGTTGTAACTGTCACTCTCTCGCACATCCAACAACAGGTACGGACAATCACTTAATAGTCTTTGAGTTTGTGGTTTATTTTCACGAATCTCCCCAACACCCTTTACAACACTGAAAATAAAAAGTTACAGATACAGGAAAAACAGCGAAGCTGTGAAGATCAATAAACAATCAAACAGAATTGTTTTGTTTTTTTTGTTTTTTTTATAATTTATTGTCATTTCCATTACACATGAATTAATTAAGTTATATGAAGGAAACTGATGAAAAGAATGGCATGGCACTGTTTTTGTCTGCAATCAGATGTCACTTTTTCTGAGGCACCATTTTTGTGGCACTATTTCCAATGCCACTATTTCTGTGACACTATGTTTGTGGCCACTATATTTCTGTGTCTTCTTTATAAGGCAGCAACAGATATCCACATACTTTCCTGTCCTGGTTTAACTTTGATAAAACCGGTTGGATATCCTTTGATTTTCTAGGATTAGCTGAGATAGACGGGATATTTGCCCCAGACAGTTCCAGATTTAACCCAGCTTTATCTTTGAGGTGTGTAAAGTGCATAAACAATCTTGTAGGAGTTAACTAGGCAGTCTACTTTCTTAACAAGAGTACCGCGGGGCGAAACAATATACGCCCGTCAAATGCCATATAGTGTTATATACTTTCTTACATTGAAATAAGATCTGCATCATTCTAAGAGTGGTTAGCTGACATGCTATAAAAAATGAAGGAGAAAATCTCTGGACAAAAACTAAAATACTGAAATGAACAAAGGGCAATAACTTTTGCAAAAATCGTCAAATCAAAATTCTTTTCAAGGAAACACAACATATCATGATTATTAAGCCTACTAAGTTTCAACGAAATCTGTCAAAAAATGTAGGAGGAGATCTACGGACAAAAAATCAAATACTGAAATGGACAAAGGGCAATAACTTTTGGAAAAACTGTCAAATCAAAATTCTTTTAAGGGAGACACAACTTCATATCATGATTATAATGTATACCAAGTTTCAAAAAGATAGGTCGAAAAATGTAGGAGGAGATTGCCGGACAAACATAAGTTTACGCCGGCTGGCCAGACAGCCCCATACCATAATACTTCCGTCAAATTTGACGGGCATATAAAAATGACTGACTTACTTTTCCAGCTTTGATTGAGCTTCTCTGTGTGTGTCCCCTGCAGCCCCATTCCTTTCTGTTTGGCTGGGTGAACTACCCTTCTGAATTTTCTGGACCTCTATGTCAGCTGTGTCTGGCCGATCTGTATTCGTTCTGTCTGTGTACTGGCCATTGCCTGCACATTACATAGTCAAAAAAAGGAATAAACCTTTCAAAACAAGAGGCCCAATGGGCCTGCATCGCTCACCTGGTATAAAACTCACACTTGTAACCTTAAAGTGATCTAAAATAAAGCTACAGGCAAAATATCAGTATTTATGATTAAAATTTGTTCAAAAGACCCTGTTAATTTTTTTCAAAACATTTCACCCCTGTGATTGAATGTCGAACAAAGTCATTATGTTGAACACATTGTATAGCCTTTCATCTCAGGATGAAACTTGCAAAGTATAAACATCCTGGGACCCATGGTTATTCATAAGAGGTTGTTTAAAGATTTTAAACAAATTTGACCCCTGTGACCTTGAATATAAGTCAAAGTCATTCACTTTAACAAACATAGTAGTCCTTGATCCCAGCATATGCTACTAACTAAATATCAACATCCTGAGCCTTTTGGTTATTCAGAACAAGTTGTTGAAATATTTTAAACATATTTGCTCCTTGTGACCTTGAATAT